AGGAGGAATGTAAAAATGTACACACACCATGGACAAGAAGACTCCAAGCTACTACATGGGAACATTTTGTAAATACGTTCTTATGCTGTCAGGATTGAATATTGTGCTGATGTAGGCACTTTTGTTATGAATGGACTTGATGTGTACAGGCTTCTTAGGGTGAGGTAGGAGAAATGAATGAGTAACAAGTGTTGAGCAATCGGAAGAACTTGGAGAAAATCTTGACAATTCTTCTTTTTTTTTTTGCATAACTACAGTGACAAATATACAAAATGCCTGACTACTATGAGGATAGAGGGCAGGAAAATGGTTTTGTTTATTTAAAAAAAAACCTACGGTTTAAATGTCAAAATGTTATTATTTCACATTATTTTGTTATTGTTTTGCAAAGGAACAAGAATAAGTCTGCAAGAGTTAAAGTTGAAAGAAAAGTCTAATAAAAAGTACATTCTTGCTCCTGAAACCAAGGGAAAATGATAGATCATTGAATGAGTTGGCAAAAATATACATTATACACACTACTCATGGCAACAAGAATCTACTTGATTATTTATAGCATTTTGAAACATCTGAGGCCTTTCGACGACTGCCTCTGTGTTGAACTTCCCTGGCTTAACCATACTCAAATATTAGTGGTATAATTCTGCATTAGTGTCATTCTTGGCAGCCACTTTGCGGTCCATCAAGAAGCTCCGTGATTTTGTAGTCTCCTGAGGGATTGCATCATGATCAGTTTCCCCTAACAACACATCGCCCCTGTGGTAAGAGACCATCGTGTGCAATATGTCTGTTGTGCTCCGTGCAGCAGCTGAGCCCCCCCTGTGCCGCCACTCTGACTCATTATTATGAATCCAGCGGTATCAAAAAACTGAATTTGTGTCCCATCTGACCGACTATTATTAACACATTGATTGATGTCATCGCTATTTTTAGGTGTCGGAGTAACCCAGCATCGTCTGCGCACACTGTTCTGTGAGCTGCGTAGGGCGGGAAAGGTCACAAGGAATATAAATAGCTGTGTTTTATCCAGGGAGATATATGATCAGTACAATTTGCTTAAGGCGGTGGGCTTCTAAAACGTAAGCTAACTCATCATTAAATACACAGCTGGGGTGGGTTCAGAAGGAGCTGACCTGTGGATGAATCAGATTTCACACAGCAAGATAAATATGTCCATCTTTGGCAGAGGTAGGCTATTGTCTTTCGTCATTCATGTAGCCTGAATATTATTCATCAATGTTTGATCCTCCACTCGATTACGCGTCCGTGGTTCGCTCATGACAATGTCGAAAAAAGAGCCAGATGTCTCACCTGAGATGGTGATTTCAAAGTAAACAAGGGCGTCATCTGCATAATGCTGCCTCTCCGCATGTTGATTAAGAAGTAATGAGCTCAACAACTGCGCCCGCTGGGTAGAGTGGAGTTACAGCGTTCGTCATGACTACTGTTTGCCTTTCATTATGGATTTGATCCCAATAACAACTGGCTTAGCCTCGTCCTGTGGAAAAGGGTGGCTCTTTCAATATTCATCTTGTATCTTAATGTCAGTGTGTGTGTGTTCAATGCTCTGAGGTATTGGCCTTTCCATGCAAATGAAACATGACTTGTAATCTGCCGAGGGTTATCTAAGGGTGCGATCAAATCCGCTCCTTTTTTGGTTTTCTAAACCAGAGTCGGTAACAATTTAGTTGAATGCTAAATCATGAAGCAGTTATTTAGCAAATACATGGAATTAGCAGTTACGATCCAATCAAAAGAATCCGATTCCTGGCTAAATCACTTCTGTTTGGTATGACTGACTTAACTGTTCTCTTAGCAAGGGGTTACTTTCACTGTTGCTTATTATCTAAGTACTCTAAATATCTGAATATGTAAATCAGTCCACACTACAGTTTGCATAATCACGATGCTTGGCTTTCAAAGCACAGTGAACTGCTGTCAATCAGATGTCAACAGCTGTCCAATTAAACCCACTAATGCAGCGCCCGTCCTGCCGACTGCTTGGCCTCTGGTATTGCTACTTGCGGCTTTCTCAATAACTACTTAGCCAACAAAACAAATTTATAATTGACACTGGACTTCCTTGGGTCCTCAAAGATGATCATATGAATGGTTGTCAAGCAACTTGAAGGATAGAGAGATACCCATTCCATTATAGTAATATAATATTACTTTTTTGATTCTATTCACACTCCATAAAAATCACAGTCCAGGCTTTAAAAACGTAAGTAAACTCTGACATGCTAGGTGTGCCCGGCCAGTTGGGCTCTGTCCTGTTGTCTACCGGTTCTCTCCTGGAGACAGTGAAAGCCTCCCATTTTCACTCCAAATAAACCTGTGTGCTGCTTTGTGATGGAACAATGAAGACAGTCAATACAATCCTGGGTGAGAATGGCCATGTCGGGGGCGAGACCTGGACTGAAAAGATCTCTTTGTTGCTCCCTCCCTCCATTCTCCCTGCTGATCCCCCTGTCACCACATCTGTGTGGCACGTGTTTTGGAAAGACTGAATCCTGTCTGGCTGAAAGATGTCAATAAGAGATGACTCCAAAGTCTGGATTTCTCACATTATACCTCTGATCCAACATTGTCTCCTTCGCTATATTGTTTTGCTTTGCTCTATGCTACGACCACCATCACCCTGCTCACCCACATCTAAGAGCAACTGAGGAAAAGTCTTGTTTCCTGCCTCTTATTGTGCCAGGGAGCAATCTCTCACTCAAGTGGCTCCTCCAGTACGAGTTACCATATGGGAGATTTAATTAGTGTATGCCTGGAGCACAATCAGCTCCCTCCCAAAACCAGTGAAGAACACAACAACTAGTTCTACCCTTTAATACTGGTTCTTAATTAGCGAGGTCGCAGCTTTCTGCTGAGGACCTTTGCTTTCTATTTTGGTACAACCTACGCAGAAAGCCAGTAAAGACGGGAAAAGTGTTCGGTCCCAGAGGAAATTATATGATTGCTGCCTGCTGCTTGGTCGGCTGGGTTCTATCTTAAGAACAAATGTGTGATTACAAGTGTCAGTCTTTCATTACAGGCAGGCGACTTACTATAAGTAATACATGCAGTTGGCTGATGTTTTGTGCGACTCTACAGAGCATGCAACGGTTGTATATAAATGGTCTCTTCATCCAATTCACCAAAAAGTACTTGCATCCAGTTGGATCTAGTCAACATGTTGGTCTAATCTTGATACCATCGAGACTGCATAGTGCCAAAAGTTTATAGGGACTTTTTATGTTCATATTACGATTTCTTTATATTGAATCTTTAAGAGGCCCTATGATGCTTTTTGGGGTTTTCCCTTTCCTGTAGTGTGTTTTTTCTCTACCACACACTCCTCTCCCTTCCTGCCTGAAACACAGAGATTGGACTCCTTTGTTTACTTCTGTAACATAGGGACATCTCTATGTAACACTCAAGCCCCTTAACTAAGGTATCTGAAAATAAAGTATGCTGCTTCTGAAACTTCGGTATTGTATGCGCATGGATATTGCTGATTGTTCAAACAATACCCGACACTATGAGGATTACCTATACTCACCGAGACAATACTACTAAGTGTTCATAGTTCATTGTTTCTATAATCAAAATATCAAAAGAAAGACACACATAAAGACAGTAGACATTGTGTGATCATGAGGAGATCCTTGTGCTGTTTGTCTCCTCATTGCTACTTTTATGTGGTAGGTGTGCATCAAAAGGTTTAGAGCTACTGCAGTAATATTTGCTTTTTAGAAATAAATATGCATTGAGCCTAGCGTCTTTCTCTCTTTTGTGACACCCTTCGTCCACGTGGAACACATTTCAGACGGCATCTTCTGATTTACGGCGCTCAATTGCCGGCAGACAACAGCAGACGGTCAGATGTGCGAGGCTCCTGGAGTCATTGGCGTTTTATTTGGTGGGTTTATATCTCCCTTATCTCTGTTCTTTTCAAGACAGTATTGGCGTCTGGAGATGAGGAAGGTTTAGCCTGTCAGACAAAGGCTGATAGACGGAGAACTTAGGAAGACAGAATAAAAGAAACTGTTTGCACATTCACTTCCCTTCTCCTCTATTTTCTCCTCCTAAATCTGTAAGTCATGGTTCTGATTGGCAGGCAAGGACACACACACAGACCGAACTGCACACACAAGCAAAGCTCAAGTTAACATGAGCCTATTACGGCTGTCCACGGTGAAGTGGTGTGTGTAGATCCTGCAACAATGAAGCATTTATTTGCTCATGTCTTACAGCTGAGTGCTCAGGTGCATTAGGTTCCACTACAGGGGGTCCATACAGGGAGCTTCAAGTGTCACAGTGGGGAAAAACCATCATTCTGTGGTACCTCGGGGATAGCGAGACCATTTTTTTGTTTACTGCCATGAAAGTCTATTTTCCGCTAAGTATGTGAGAGTCCATGTGACTGTCTATCGCTCAAAGGCTTGTGTGTCTATGCATAGTAATGTGACGGATCTGTATTTACTCTATTTGTTTTTCTCAAAGCAAAGAGCACATACGTACTGATTTATGATCAGCAGAGGGAAGCTGCACCACACTTCCAGGTGACGTTTGTTTGCGTATGAGATCAGATAGATCCCCGTCTTGTTATTAAAGGGGCCCTATTCTGCTTTTTTGGGTTTTCCTTTTACTGTAGTGGTATACAGTTTTTATCCAAGTAAATGTTTGCAATGGGTAAAATCCCAGAGTTCATGTCCCTGCCTCAAATGTAGTCCTTCGTTTACTTCAGAGATAGTGATATCACAAAGTAACACTCAGAGCGGTTGACCATGTACAACAGAGCCGGCCAGCTACCCAATCAGAGCAGCGAGGCTCAGACTATGGGAATAAAAACACTTTGTGAACATTATAGCATGGAAACCTGTTACAGTAGAGACACACAATACAATTATGAACCTGGAAATGCCTATAATGACATAGCGGTTATATTTTATTCCTCTGCCTTATTAGACAAATAAATCTCATTGCTTATCCTTAAAAATGCTTTGTTTTTGTTTCCTCTTTAGGCGTTTTTGCACAGAATCAGAAAAAATGCAGATGACCAACAGTGTCTCTCACCTGAACATGTCAAGGTATGATTGCCTCACAAATGTCTAAAATGATGTTTTTGATATTATAATGCTTTAAATATGTCTTCTCTGTCCATCTGTTGGTCACTTCCCTTGCTCTTTTCCCTCTTCCTTCCACCCTACCTCTTTATCTCTTCCTTCCTCCATTTTCCCCTCCCTTTACATCACCCCCCC